ATATAAAAAGAAAAGGAAGGTGGTTCCTAACGTATTATTCAGAAAACATATATTGCTCTGTACATCAACTACCCTAGCCAGAACATCTAACTCCTTTTTAACAGAAATAACTTACTGATAATATTAAAAAAAAAAATTGCAGCAAAGAGTACTTAAGCTCTGTTTACAGAACCTCCTGTCCTTACTCCTCAAGGAGTCACTCCATTTTCAGTACTTTGAGCTGGGAATACAGAGAATATGAGAGCAACTTCAATATTAAAAAAAATATTCTAAAGAAAGTACTCCAGTTACACAGCTTTAAACATAAACTTGGTCCTTTTTAGGTTTTTAATTCACCTTTTTAAAATAAAACAAAAAAAAAAACAAACAAAAAAACCACCTCATTTCACCTTCAGGTCATCCACAATAAGTAGAAAAGAGTCTTTAATTCAATACTATCCATGCTGATCTGAATGTGCTTCATGGAAGATGATGACCTAGGTTTTCAGAAATGCAACCTCGGTCTTTTTGCTGGTAGCAGCTTTCAAGTGTTAACCAAAGTAAACAACAAAAAATATAAAAACACTAAGAAATGGGCTGCTTAGACATAGCAGATTTATATGATAAAAATGCAGTAAGAATACTGTGAAATTATTTGAGCAACAGACAATTAAGAAGCATAAACATACTTTGTCCTCATCGACATCTTCAGCAGATGAACATACATCCACTTGGAGACCATTTTTTGCCTAGAAGAAACACAAACTGTCTTCAATTCTAAACTGAAATAACTTTGAGACATGGCACTAAACTGACGCTTCATGCCTGAAACGTCTATTTTAATTAGAACTGCTATCTCAAAACTGCAGTAAGTTACAAGGAATTTTGATTCAATGAGAACTCTTTACACAGATGTTTTCACAACTTCAGCGTTGCAAAACAGTAAGAAAAACTGCTAGCGTTCTCTGTGTGAAGAAGTCGTGTCTGCACAGGCTATTCCTCCTGCCTGTCTATGAACCATGCTCAACACCTCGAATTACAAACGCCAGCTTTGTCCAGCACAAGGAGAGCTGTGCTTTTCAGTGTGGAACGCAAAACTAGTTAGCTCACCAGGCTCAAAACAGCTGCACAATACAGCAAGATCAGATGTGCCTGCGTCAAGATCACAGATCAGAAGGCTGTGAGAAGATCAAGGACACACATTTGTATGAGTCTGTGCAGAAGAGGCAGAACCCACCCGCTCTTGCTCATATCTCTCACCCTGTTGGGTCTGAGCAGGGTGCACTGCAGCAAGGCAAACACTGACCTTGAGCCCAATTCTCTTTCAGGCAAGGAGATGAAGTGCCAGATCCAAGTTGGCCAGGCATCCTCAGGGTAACGTATATGAAACTGAGGTCCAAGGATTCAAACAGGAAGGAAGTTAAGCTCAGGCCCTTCCAGACTCAGACTATTACTCTGGTCTCTCCACGAGGCACGCTAGAGTGTTATCTTATACTCTTCCTATTACTGCTGTATTTAAGTCAAAACATCCTGAAGTTTAGCTGACAATAGACTTAAAACTACATAGACTTTCGTTCTGTGCCAAATGAATGAAGTTCAGCATGAAGCTGAGATCTTTTCTGGTATTTTTATCTCAAAAAAAAAAAAAAACTGATAAAATATTAAAGTCACACACTACACAAGAAGAAACATCTACGTAGATACTTACGAATGTGAATGATTTAGGATAGGAGCATCAGCATTTCTTTTTAAATAACTAAAAAGCCTAAAACTTCCTAAGAGGTCCTATAATATTGCAGTACTACAATTAAAGATGGCATTTTCCATTTTAAGGATGTTTCATCATCAAGGAAAACCAAAGACAAACAAAAAAATCACCCCACACACATGTTCTCAGAACAGAATATGTACAATAGCCTGAAGCACTACTTAAGAGCTTATTACACTTGAATTCTTGCAAGTCATACTTTCTACACACCCCAGCCAGCCAACTCCTCAGTGACTAGCCAGTTAAAAAGAAGTCTTATGAAAAGGATGAGTGACTAGGAAAGGAGATGCAGGAGCAGCTGGAGAGATGCTGCACTCGCCGTGACAGCAGAAAGCCCTTGATATATCCATTTAAATATTCTGGCTACACAATAGCCTCACACGCAAATATATTGTTTTGTCAACTGACTACTCCTTTCTATACACCCATACAACCATTAAAACACTTTTCTGAAGTACTGGAATAACAAGTAATTAGGTATCTTTATTTCTAAAGGACACCATCTACCAAGAAAAACTAACCAGTTCACGTAATCAAAACACTGAAATAACACAGACTTAGTACTAATTGATAATTGTACATGGTAAAAAACATGAAAAATGTGTGCAAAGTACAAAATGACATAAGACTTTCAGTAAACTCAGTAAAACTAATATTTTCAAAAAGTGTAATTCAGCAAACCTCTTTAGCATTAGACTGTATCACTTCAGTTGGTTCTGTTTTTCTTTTACACCTCTGCTTTACAGAAATACTGTTGTTGTCCAAGTCTTGCATCAGTTTAAAAAAAGCTAATTCATTAAATAAAACTTCGGAGATTTCCACAAGAAGATCCTCCCCACAATCTTTTAATCTTCTACCAGCAAATTTTGCCAGTGAATCCTGTGAAGAGAAACAATTCTTTAGCTTTTGGAAAAGGCTCTAGAAGTTCAAAGTCCAAACATTCATATTCCTAATAAAGGATTGAAGTCCATAAAAATAGCTGTTTACTTAAAAAATATATACATTACAGTTTTGTGTCTTAGGCATTTTAAATAGAAACCATATTCATAAAAAGCTTACAGACTAATGATTTGAACTCCACATTTGTACCCCCCAAATGTAACCCTTTTTAGCAACTTGCACAAGATGTCCACAAGGACCGTCCCCAGAAGTCTGCTTGAAGGAAAACACAGGAGACTTCAAGCTGCTAGATAAGCTATTAAAATTTAACCTGTGCAAACACATCCACTTGCAATGAACAACACACACCGTATGTGGACCGCAGTGTTTTTGAAGTACATCTCATTATCTGGCAGCGACGGAGGAGCTGTGTTCATAGCAAAGCTCTGACGTTAGGAAACAAGCTCTGTTTAGAAACAGCTCATTACTCGGAGCCAAGCAGAAGAGCAGCTGTGGCACTGATATGGTAAAATACAACTTGAAGGAAGGTAGCTTGCCTGTTGTTAGTAACCCAAACTATAATAGTGTTGCAAAACACCACCAAAAACCCTACTAACCTGCAGTATACTGCCAAGCTGTTTATGAAAGAACTTGACAAATTCTTTACTTTCATCATTTTGTTGTGTGAGAGTCAAGACCATACGTCTTACTGATGTCAGCAACTGAGAAGAGCATATTTCATCCATGTGTTCCTAAACAAACATTACAGGATACATTCAATTAGTTACCACTTTAAACAGTCATATTGACCATTATCTCATATATCAGAATGTATTTGTTAAAAAACTCACCTCCTGACACTGAAGGAAAACCTCAGGAACAACTTGCTCATGTTCTAACCCACCTCACAAAACAGACTAAGCAGAGCCTGATTACAGCAAATAGTTAACTACTGACCCTCCAAGGCACACAAAGCCTCATCTCACTTTTCTACAATGGTAGTACCTGACACCTTTTAACATTTGGACAAACTAAGAATCTTCATGTATTCCAGTGTTATCAAATAAGTTGTTACCTAGTTTTAAAGGTCTTTCAAAACAGAAAACCATCAGCACATCTTCAGACACCAAAACTGTGCCATCTATATACAAATATATATATAGCACTTGGAAATGCCAATCAAATATGTAGCTTGATTAGCCTAAGCTAATATACTGGATCTAAACGCAATACAAGTTGACTTTTTTTCTTCTTTAACTCTGCACAGAACATGAGGTGTGAATGTTCCTGCTCCTATAAAAAAGTCCCACCCATTCATAGAAGCTCAGAAGCTCACCTCTGCAATAAAGGGACTTGTAAACGTTGCAGGGGGGGAGGGGAAAAAAAAAGAGCTAAAAATCAACAACTTACTGAGCTATTCTTCAAAAACACCTCAAGCTACATGTTATGTAACAGTTTTCATTAAAATTCTCAGCTGTCCTTGCTAAAAGGAAACAAATATTTCAGAAGCACATTCATTAACTTTTTCAAACATTCCTATTTGATTTGGCCAGCTCTAAACAAAGATGCCTCTGTGTCTCAGGAAATCTACATTCATTAACAGGATGCAATCTAGATTTGCTATTACTTCCTCCTACTAAACCCTTATTCTGCTGAAGAATTTAACCCTTACTGCATCCTCAGCAATAGAATCATAGAGTTATTATGGTTGGCAAAGATCTTCCAAGATCATCGAGCCCAACCATTAGCCCTCCAACATCCTGCCTGCTAAACCATGTCCCTAAGCTGCCAGGGGTGGTAACAGCTGTAGCAGCTGTAGCTAAGCTGGCTTAGCAGCTTTAATTACCAGTTTTAAATAAAATGAGAAATTGAAAGATATTTGACTGTACAGACAACTTAAGAAAAAAAGATTTGAAGACTGCACAATGTATACTTGTTCATTTGCAAATACATAAAAAAATCAAATCCAGTATTTTCATCCTAGCTTTCAGGACAGAAACATATCTACGAGGTACACAAAGGTGAGAGCAAAACAGTTTGCTTTAGCCTACATTAGACAAAGTTGAGAGCTACTATTACATCTTCAAAAACAACAGAAAACACCTATTCCTTTTTCTACGTCAATATAAACAGTCTTCTAGGCAAGGATGTAGTCTCCACTTTTCTTCCTAGGTCCTACGCTATTGAAAAGAGCTTTTACCTTCAGAAAAGGAATGACCTCTTTCATAATTGCTTTAATCTGCCGATCAAGCTGCTGAGTATCTATACGAGGACACGGAACACCAGAAGCTTCACTTGACTGCGGCCCACAGGGACTTTCACTGGAATTTGCCTCTTCTGAGAGAAAGGTGCAGGAAAAAATATCCAAGTCATTTAATACTACTATTAAAGAAATATCAATTTCAAAATATGTTTTTTTAATATATTTACTTCATTGTGTAAAGATCCTAAGAAACTTTGCTAATAGCAGTTTTCAGCATAAATGAAGTGGATAACAAGTCAGCCAATTAAACAATTCTTGATATTTAGACTGATTTTCTAAAACTAGGCAAAATATGTATATATGTGCATACCTTCTAATTTAGCAGCAGAAGCACCCTGAAAATTACTAGAGCAGCCCTCAGAGTCAAGGGTACTTTCAGCTTCAATTTTCATACGCTCATATTCCCTCATCCTAGCCAAAGCTTGATCTAAGTGAATCACTGTGTTGCCTATATTTAGGATAAAAACATCTTTTAATCTAAATAAAAAATTTAAAATGAGTAAGACAAAAAAACAATAGCAACAATGAAACCATAACCACAGGTTTTCAAATTTAAAACATTACGACTCAACTAGAATTCTGTTTATTATACACTTTGACCAAGTCAAAGTGTTGCCAAAAAGGCTAATTGCCCCGAGTGTTATATCAACAGCATGTGGTCTCCTTACCAAGGTCATCAGTGGCAAAAGGTTCAAAATTTGAAGATGTTGACATGCTGCCATTGTCTGCATCATTTTGTTCACAGTCTTGACATGCTCCTATAGGTAGGTTTTTGTCAAAAGTTTCCTAAAAAAAAAAACCAAACAAACATACAAAACCATACAATGCTAGAAGGCACCATCCTCTCATAGACAGATAGGTCAACAAGATACATCTGTTCAGCCACATACTCTAATTTCCAGTCTTGTCCCCATGCTGCCTGACTGCAGAACAACATGACTTTCAAGATGGAAACCAGACAGATGATTCTATTTTTCCTCACAAATACTTCAAAAACAAATATATGCAAAACTCTGCAGAAGCATCAATGATCTCTCTAATTTGAGAGAGAACTCCTTGGAAATCTGGTGTTAAGTACATGCTGTGACCTTACTCACAGGAAGACCCTGGCTGTTTCTGAATAACAGATTCAGATTTATGCCCATCCTACTGTTTTCCATGTTCGGTTCTTAACATGTCACAGATTTCCAATGTAGGGAATTCTGTAATGTTTAATTATTTTGGAACAAAGATGCTTTTACATGCTTTCAAAAGTCTTCATAAAGTAATAAGGATTTCCAAAAAATTCCATCACTCGTGCAACAAGTTCAGTGCAAAAGCATGGATACAAGCCAAAAGCCGGAAGCTGACACAGTAAACCAGTTTCTTAACTCGAAGTAGAAACTTACATCGTCTGTAGAAGCAAGGCTTTCACTGGGAGTGAGTTCAGAATTTGATGCCATCCATGTGGCAGAATTCAGTGATTTTGCACATTTCCGTTTTTCCCGAGTCTCAGATAAATGCCTAGTCACTATATCCTGGAAAAGACAGTAAAAGCTACAGTGTAAATAAGAAGCTAAGATTTGTTTTATTCATAGACAAGAATCTGATTGTTGTGCATACCTGTAAAGCATACAGTGCCCTTTGCCTCAAGTAATCTGTATTTAGCAGCTGAAGCTCATGAAAAAGTTCAATGAGAAAATGAGGCCGAGACTCATTTTGAGAAATAAGAGTAGCTACTTCAGAATAAATTGTGTCCCGCAAAGCTTCAAACATAGAAAGATCACTACCAGTTTCTGTAGGAAAAGGAAAGAAACCAGTGAGTAAAGTCCTTAACAGGCACCTAGCTGAACATGCACCTACATATGCAAACTGGCCCTCAACCAGTGCAGCTCAATCAGCTATTACACAGCTGCAATTTTAAAACTTGCTTACTTCCTGAAGGCAAGAGAAATTTCAACATACTTAAGTAATTCTTGATACAAACAAACAAAATCTCAAGCATTCATGAGAGTCATTTTTTTACAGTTCTCAATGATATTTTTAAAAAGGATTATTTAAAAAGAATAGTGTCCACTTGAGAATGTTGCTTTCAGAGTGGTAGTCAGCACTAATAACCACTCTGTGTTTCACAAAATACGGCCAAAGGTTTATCCTACAAATAGCTCATATTTTTGCCACACAAGGAAAGTGTGCACACAAAGCACACTTTGACAAATATTAATGGAAAAAGTTAAATTTGAAAAATTCCGTTTAGCTTAATGCAAATGTATTTGTTAGCATTGAAAGTACTGAAGTTGTAAGCAGTGCAGCAAATACTACCTCACAATTTGATTATCTGCAATTAAATCACCAAAATTCTTAAGCAGGGGCAAGCCTTTTCAACCCATAAATAGCTACCACAAATTCACTCCCCAGGCTGCAATGACTAAAGTGTACCAATAGCTTCTAAATATCCCTGATGTGCTTTCTGAAACCAGTTTTACTTGGTGTTCAGCCTCACACCTGTCTTCTATTAGTTTTTGTAATTAACAAGGAACATGATCAATATATTATCTATGATTGCAGTTCAAAGCAGTTGTACTGTTGCATGTAACGCAAATTACAAATAACTTTTCTTGCCTTCTTTATAGAGAAGGTACTGCAAAGTTAGTATGTGGAAAGCTAACCATCGGGCTCCTGAGAAACAGTCTGACTTCTAGGATCAAAGCTAAGAGGAAAAAGAAAGCAAATAAGAGGACACCGTTGAAGCTAAGCAGTGATTGCATTACCTGGCGCTTCAATGCATGCATTTCTGTTAGACTGCTGCAGAATTCTCCTAGCATGCGCTGTAGGAAAGTGGGGATAGACAGTGATAAACACAAAAACGCGCACCAGAAATCAAGACAGGGTTGATACAAAACAGCAGGAGGAAGACTGCTTAATCATCCAAACGACAAGACTGCTCACTGGGAGAACTTTGCCCATGGAACTGATATGTACGCCAGTAAATGCAGCTCTTAGCGTGACCATAACCACACTGACAAAGCTGTTCATCATGCTACAATGGCTGAATTATCTGCATTTTCCCAACAAAAAATTACTGCCAAACCTAACGACACAAAAGAGACCATTTTCATGGTCCAGATGCAAGAAAAGCAGTGCAGATGGTAAACGCAAGAGTTTTCTACATGGTGTTTTAAGATTTAACTTGAATGTCATGTAACAGAGCCCCTCTGCGCGAACAGAAACATAACATGCATGCAGCAAGACATAGTTTAAATGCTAGAATTTAACAGTGGTAAACACTAAACAAAGTTTGATTTGTTGCACAATTGCCCTTTTCCACAGGATGAAAAAGTGAGATTTTTGGTAGGTTAGGTTGTTCTTTGTTATATTGTAACAGTTTCCATTTCCAAATTATTTTAATCAAGTATCTAATCTACTGTAAACCCTGAAGCAATCAACGGCCAATCTTTAGTTTTCAATGGTTACAGCATGCTTAGGAATTAAAGCAAACCTGCATGCTAAAGTAATGTGTTCCGTCTTGTCACAATACAAGTGCTTTTAAGTACTGCACTGGCAACTGAGTATGGAGGCCCTTTACACAAAGCAATCCACACACACACAAAAAAAACTGAAATTCATAAAAAAATACCTGAAGACATTTCTGTAGATCTACTGTATTTAATTATTTTTTCCAACTGTTCTCGATTTCTTTTGCTGAACACCTTTGCGTGAACCACCTCTTCAGAGTGTCTGCTCTTATTGCTTTTGCAGGGCTCGCACACACTAGAGGCACTTGCACTTTCATAACCTTATGGGAGAGGGGAAGGGTTAGGCTTCAGGGGCCACCTCAAAGATCCAAAACACCAGAGATGTTTCCAAGCCACAATTCTCCCTCTGGGCACCGACGCCATGTGGCATCACTCAATTCTCAGCACCTGCAACAGTGTCATGCATGCTGGCTAGTCCTGTCCCTTTCTAGCCGCTCAGCCACTATGTTACTCTGATTCTGTATTTTATCGAAGCACGTCATCCAACTTCAACATAAAGACATAATGAAAAGGAACACTCCCTTGGCAGTTTGTTTCATGTCTTAACATATCTGCATTCACTATTTGTTCACTCATGATGCCCAAATCCCTTACAATTTTTTACAACATGAATACTCAAAGCTTATTTACTTGTGTTATGTAAAATGAATTCATGCTTCAGTGAAAACTT